AGCATTTCAAAGGCCCACCTGCTGTAGTTTTTTAGTTCATCATGTTAGCAAAACTTTCTGTGTCTCTGTTATGTTGTGGGGCTCATGTTTGTGTTATGAATCTACCCTGTTGGCATCAGTTGCTGTCCAGCATGCTGGTTCTATTGTGCCCTTTGTGGCTGCTATGTGAACTTGGCCTGGGAGGCTACTTTATGAAGACTGCTCTATTTCTCAATGGTAGAAAAAAAGATTAACATCATGAGTTGGAATGTCAGGGGGTTAAACTGCCCTGACAGACGTGCGACGGTCCATGAAACAATTTCCGCTTCTTCTTGCCACATTGTTTGTCTTCAGGAAACGAAAATGGCATGTATTGATCAATTCCTTGCTTGCTATCTCGGCGGCAACCGGCTCCGTAGCTTTGCTCAAAGGCCCGCCAATGGCACTCGCGGTGGCTTAGTCATGCTCTGGGATGACTCTGTTATTGAGGTTTCAAATGTGAGGACATCCGAATTTTGTCTCTCCGCCAACGTAAACATCCGCAACTCTGATTCGCAGTTTTTGATCACATCCGTCTATGGCCCAACGGATTCCGGCCGGAAGAATGATTTTTTCGGAGAGCTGGTGGCCCTGAAGCCAAATGCCGGAGTCAAGTGGCTTGCTCTCGGTGACTTTAACCAAATTTACCGGGCACGAGACAAAAATAAGAGAAACATCAACATTAGCCGGATAAACCGATTTAGAGCAGCGCTGAATCTTGGTGAGCTCAAGGAAATCCACTTACAGAATCGTCGGTTCACTTGGAGCAATGAAAGGGAGAACCCGACCTTGTGCAAACTCGACTCCTTCTTTTGCAATTCTGAATGGGACATACATTTTGACTCACACATCTTGCATGCCCTATCAAGCTCCCTGTCTGATCATTGCCCCCTTCTTCTTGCCGATGACAGTGGCCCTCGGCGACCTCGCACGTTCAAGTTTGAGAATTTCTGGACAAGAATCCCAGGATTTATGGATGTTGTGCAACAGGCTTGGCAAGAACCAATCTCTCACTCGGAGCCCTGTCATGTTTTATTCCATAAGCTAAAGAATACGAGCTTGCATCTGTCTAGATGGAGTAAGGGACTCTTCTCCAAGGCCAAGCTTCATCTTCATGCGGCCTTGCTTATCATCCTTCAACTTGACATTGCTCAAGAATCTCGCCCTCTCTCCCATGATGAGCAGGACCTCCGGATTAGGCTGAAGAGGCGGGTCATGAGCCTGGCTGTGTTAGAGAGGGCGCGTAAGAAGCAGTGTGCTCGCATTTCCAACATCAGAGAGGGCGACGCTAACACCAAGTTTTTCCATCTGAGGGTCAATGGTAGACGGCGCAAGAACCACATACACCGGTTAAAGCATAACAATGGGTGGGTCACCGACCACTTGGAGAAGGAAACTATTGTGCATAATCATTTCTCCAGCGCCATTGGAAGAGGCACGCCAAGGAGTCGGGATTTTAATTGGGCAAATATTGAAATGGGCCAAGTTGATTTGGAAGGTCGTGATTCACCTTTCACTGAGGAGGAGGTCAAGTGCACCATTGATCATATGCCGTGCGACAAGGCACCCGGCCCGGATGGCTTTACCGGTGCATTATTTAAGTCTTGTTGGGATATCATTAAGGTGGAGGTCATGGCTGTGATTCATAACTTTGGCAACCTACATGTAGACAACTTCCAATGGCTCAACTCCGCTAATATTGTGCTTCTGCCCAAGAAGGATGGGGCAGAAGACATCACTGATTTCCGGCCCGTTAGCCTCATCCATGCCATTGCCAAGATTGTCTCCAAGATGCTTGCAGCGAGGCTTAGCCCACACATTAACAACCTCATATCCAACGCCCAAAGTGCTTTCATAAAGAAGAGAAGCATTCATGACAACTTCATGTACGTTAGAAACCTTACACGCCGCCTCCACAAGAATAAGACTCCATCACTCCTTTTCAAACTGGACATCCGAAAAGCTTTTGACTCGGTCCGGTGGGAATATGTCCTTGATATTCTTCAGCGGCGCGACTTCCCTAGCAGATTTCGTGACTGGATTGCTGCCCTTCTTAGCACCTCATCATCACGGGTGCTCCTCAATGGGGTTCCCGGTTCTCCGATTAGCCACGGGAAGGGCCTACGGCAAGGAGACTCGATGTCACCGCTTCTTTTTGTTATTGCGATTGACCCGCTACAACAACTGCTCAACTCAGCCACTCGGATTGGGCTTCTGCACAAGATTAGAGGGCGTGGCACCATTATTCGGACATCACTCTATGCTGACGACGTGGCTGTCTTTGTGGCGCCAATTCGGGAGGATATTAGAAACCTGGCCGACATCCTGGAGGGGTTTGGTGAGGTCACAGGGATGCACACAAACTTTCACAAGAGCTCCGTGGTGCCTATTCGGTGTCGACACTTGGATTTGGACGCCATACTTGAGGACATGCCAGCCACTCGAGCTTCTTTCCCCATGAGATATCTCGGATTGCCGCTTTCTGTTTGGCAACTTAAGCGAGTGGACTACCAACACCTGGAGGACAAAATTGCGAACAAGCTTGTGCCTTGGGAGGGCATGCATATCACCTCCATTGGACGTGGGGCTCTTGTGAAGTCGGTCCTCACCTCCCAGGCCATCCACCACCTCACCCCACTCATTGTGCCACCATCCGTTCTCCAGAGCATCAACAAGATTGAGCGTGCTTACCTTTGGGCGGGCACGAAAAAGGTCTCCGGAGGGAAGTGCAAGGTTAATTGGGAAACGGTCTGTAGGCCTACTCACCTAGGAGGATTAGGTGTCTTACATCTTGACAAATTTGCCAGAGCTTTCCGGTTGCGTTGGCCATGGTATGAGTGGCATGACCCAACGAAGATTTGGGTTGGTTCGGGAAACCCATGCGACAAAGAGGACATGGATCTTTTTTATGCTCTCACCACCATCACAGTTGGCAATAGGGAAAGGACGCCATTTTGGGACGCACCGTGGCTCAGCGGCAAGAAGCCAATTGATGTTGCACCCCTCATATACAAGATCTCGAAGCGCAAAAGTTGGAAGGTTAGTAGGGCCTTGCACGATGATGCGTGGATCAAGGCCATCGACATGCATTGTGAGCTGACTTGGAATCATGTGACTCAATTCGTTGAACTGTGGTCTCTGCTCTCTCATATAAACATCTCCCAAGACGTCCATGACACCATCATTTGGAAGCTCTCCCCTAATGGGGAATACTCGGCCAAATCAGCATATAAGGTGCAATTCATGGGAGCTATCCTCACGCCCATGAACAAGGTCATTTGGAAAGTCTGGGCACCCCCCAAGGTCAAATTCTTCGCATGGCTAGCCATCCAAAATAGGGTGTGGACGGCTGACCGCCTAGAGCGGCGCGGGATGCAAAATTGTGGTCTCTGCCCGTTATGCAAGAGGGAGTTCGAGTCCACCGCTCACCTTTTCTACAGATGTCGGTACACTATGCGGTTGTGAAGGCTGATTAGAGATTGGTTGCAAATTGGCGATATCAACACCAACCAGTGGGCGGCTCATCACTCTCTCAGTAGTTGGTGGACTCATATGGCCAGGCGCAGCAAGGCTATGGCGACCCTCACCTTGCTCACCACCTGGACTATTTGAAATGAGAGAAATGCAAGGGTCTTCCAGAAGAAATCGACGCCCCCCCAAATTATCTTGCGAAACTTGAAGGAGGAAGCTAGGCTCTGGGTGCTAGCGGGTGCGAAACGCCTGAGTAATTTGATACGCGAGAGTAATGACTTTGTATTCAGTGGGCCTCATGTGGCTTCGACTTAAACCTTGTCTCTCCCCTTAATTAATGAATGAGCCAAATCTTTTGCCTTTGCGTTAAAAAAAAAATCCCACATCACACACGATCGTTTCTGGCGCTCGTTTGCTATGTTGTGGCACATCGCACACGATTTTCAGTAACTACAATATCTGATGTGTCTGGACATTATGTAAGCTCGGCTCACATTAGAAACCATAAACCTCTTACTCTGACACATCCCTCTCAACGAGACAATGCCTTTCTCTTTCTCTGTCTAAACATGATGGTGTGATGTGAGTGGAACAACGCCTCTTCATCTGGCTTGCCAGATCTGGCCCCAAGGAAAATGTCGAGTGACACGTCAAAGAGTAGGAGGGTGTGGCGCAACATGAGGTCCCCAGCACAAGAGGACGCAAGGAGGTCGGACGATCGGGCGGCTCGTGTAAGAAGACACCAGGAGGACATGGGACTGTGAGGCTGAAGCAAGTGCCATAGGAGAGAAAATCGATGCCTCCATCACCCCCATTGCAGGGCGATTCGTGGGCAGCGCAGTGGTCTTGTGCCTGCTACCGGAGCCGGCAACTAGACCGAAGGACGAGAATGGTCGCGATGAACCTGACCCTGCCCCTAAGCCACCTCCTGAAATTCCCCGAGATACTTACCGACCTTCATGTCGATGATCTTGCTTGTGAACCAACCATCAAGCCATTGATTGCCAGATTAAGTTTTGTTATATCTTTAGTACTCCCTCCATTCACTTTTGTAAAACCTTTTAGACATTTATTAAGACAGCATCTAAAATAGTTCAATTTCAGCTCTCTTAAACGACTTACAAAAGTGAACAAAGGGAGTAGCTAAATTCACCTACTGCTAATGTTGAATTTTGCCATGGTTAGTAGTTAATTCATGTAATGTCATTTACAAATGATTTTATACAATCATTTTGCTAACTAAGTAATTTTTGCTATCGCTAGCAAACAAATGCAATAATGCCACTGTTAAATGGCTTTTATATGCTACTCTTCTAATTTATTAAGTAGTAACTTATATTTGTTCTATGGCTAGTAATTAATAATTAAGCTTATGCTATAGTAGTTGCTAAAATGAACTTATGGTGCTGTTTTGCAATTGGTCTACCTTCTTGCTTCAATAAAGAAGGGGGAAATGATGGCTCGACTTCGCTTTCATTTCTCAGCCCAACAGATTGTAAAATCAACGGTTTTCACAACAGCATGACCATAATATCCACACTCATCATTACTTCATACAACTCGTATTTTGATGCGCCCAACAGAAGATCAAAAGAGTTGATGGAACGGAACCACTCCAAGATAAGCTGCTGTTACAAACTTACAGTTACAGCATAGAGCTTCATCTGTACCAAAGATGTCCTCTACTGAAGTACTCCATATTCACTAATTCTATTTTCGTATTCTTATACCTAAGCCTACACTTTAGATCAGAGGTGGTACAAAGGAGTACCAAGGAGGCAAAGAGATCAAATGACTAGCTATTGCCTTGCTGTACTATATATATTAGCAGGAACCAAAAAGAGGACCTCAAGGTCAGTTGGATGTATAACAGGTTGCTCTTGCTTTATAGACATAGAAGGCTATAGAATACAAGGGGTATGAAAGCGTTATCCAGCTGGGTCGTATACGCTTCAAGTAATAAGCTCAAAGTCACAGCTAATGAAAGTGACAACCAGTGCTGTGCCAACATAAGAAAACGGTCAGTGGGAGTTTTTATCTAAATTGTGTTGCATGTTCTAGCATAAAGCTTTGGTCGGTTCGGTGCACGAAATTAAGAGATCGAACCTGTGAAAGAATGTATCCGCTTGAAGCTAAGAGTGTCACCAAGATTGAGCAGGCTGCCAGTACAGAAGTTATGCCTGCTGCCGTGCCTTCAATTGTTTTCTCTAACATTTCAGGAAACATGCATAAGTGATCAGCAGACAAGTGCGGAAGGACCAAAGAAATATAAGAAAACCGAACTCACTTCCTGTCTTGCTCCATCTTAGGACACCGTACTTGTACCCTATCATTGATGCCTGGGTGCAAATCAGAGAATACATCAGATATAACACAGTACAATAGGGATTGTTTTTCCTCAGACACGCACCAAAGTGCACGTCATTTTGTATTAGAAGAAGGCGTAGAGTAAGGAATATTAACAGGCCACTGGACCTACCATTGTATCACCTATCCCTAAGCTGAGAATTCCAGCAAAAGGGGCTAGGGGTCGATCATTGAATCCAGATGACATCCACTTAGGAAGTGCGCAGCCCAGTAAGAGTGAGAAATGACTGAAAAAATCCAATAAAATACGTTATATCCTACAGTGAAAGATGTAAAATATGGAAAAGAAAGACTACTAAAGCACACTTACCTAATAATTAGAATCTCAGAATCGCGATGGTCAGTGAAAGCGTTCATGAATTGATGTATGGTATGCCCAAGAGGGTATACTTCCCAAACCTGAGGACATAGTTGAACATTTGTGGAAAAATGAGCACAACTTGGCATAATAGATACTATTGAAAGGGAAAAGGGAAGAGAGTGAGGAAGGACGTAGGAGAATCAAAAGATTCTTACACGAATCATCTCCAGTATTAAGAAAAGAGCAAATGCGGCACCAAATGCCAAGTCCAAGAAAGCAGGCTGCAAAGCATAGATCAAAATTTATTACAATAACTTTCGAAATATACTAGTGGGATTAGATTAGAGAAGATGTATACATTACCTGAAATATAACGGCAGGAGAGAAAATCAGGACAGCAACAAGATGATAATACTTGCGCAAAAGAATTCTCTCTGTTTTGCTTTGCTTTGATATACTGTAGAACCTTCTAATTGATACACATATGACAAATATCCAGTATGCGCATAAAAGAAGCCGTTCATCTGAATTGGTGAACATGTAGTTAAGAACCCTGTGAAATAATGAGCCATTAAGCAAACAACAAAATCAGTATCTGTAAATATACAGAAGATTTTCCGAGAAAGAACAGAGTGCAAAGTTAAAATGTTAATTCCACTACTGATGAGTGGTATGCTCTTCCCATGAAAGTCAAACGGTGATTCTTACCAAACAAACGGATGGACTTCAAGACCTTGAACAAGCCGCGTCCATGACGGCACTAAGAACAGTAACACCAACAACAACGAGACATAAAATACAGCAGAGCCTGCTCTTTTTTCTACTCGTTTCTCAATTGCTTGTGTTCGTTGCTTGCCCAATGTTCGACAGTAAACCCAAACTTGAAGAGAACTTTTGTACAGCAAGGGAAGTAGAAAGAGACCAAGCAAAAAACCCTGCCAAAAGAAGTACGAGATGTAAATGCTATTAAGCTCAAGCCAGACGTAAGAAATAACAGGGAAGTAGAAAAAGACCAAGCAAAAACCCGTGCCAAAGGAAGTACGAGATGGAAATGCTATAAAGCTCAAGCCAGACGATCAAAATAACAAATACCCTACCTGAATAACGGTGGCTATCTCGCTTTGAGTTCCAGGTGTGTGTATGAATGCCCCTGGTGATGCAGAGAACTCCATCTGCCAGTGCAATTAAAATGATACAGGCCATCAGATTTGCTCTTTTTTTATAGCAAACATATAGTTAGGATTTACGAACAATTCACACCTTTGAAAGAGTACGAGCCAGAATATCACCGAAGTAAACAACGAGACCACTTGACACCAGAAGTCCCTCCCCTGGAATAAACAGAAGAGTGTGAATAAGAAAAAGGTTGCACTTCCAAGTCAAAATGAAGAGGAGATATACTAATAAATTGCACTACTAAACAAGATCCATACAAAATAGTTGGCCTTACATGCAAAAGATACTAAACAAAGTGAGGGCAATTGCAATCGTTCTTATGTGCATATATATTTCTGCATGGGATTTATCTTAATCCATAAGGTATCTTGGAAAAATGTATAAATGCATGTAAGGATATGCAATCAGATATAAACAGAAGAATAGAAATAAAGATCTAATTACATCTTAGACTTCAGGTACAAACCAAAAGATGAACATGAAGGGAACTTCTCTAGAATGTGCTTGATCAAGATCACAGCAGCCACTCCATGGCAGAGCAGATACCCATTTTTGGTCATCGCTAACAGACCTACAATAAATTCAACACAATTATTTTGTCAAATCCTTCTCATCTTTCGACTTGAATTAGATTTAAAAAACACAATGTAATTATCATTGAATGCAGATAAATACTTGCACGTTACCTCCATCAGTCTTCACTAGGAAGAACAGCAAGAATGTCACTAGATATAAAACTACCATCAATGAACCATATTTCAAAGTTTTAGAAATCTCATTGTTGGCAGACTGACGTAGATGCCAAAGGAAGAAAGCCAGCACACTGACACAGCTGATGGATACTGCCCAATACTGCATTTCGAGGTATGCAAATTCTGGCCACATAAACCAAAATATATGTGGTTAGTGAACTGTATGCATCACGAAAAAAAGGTGTTCAATACACATGGATAAAATAGAGGATAACTGCACTTCACAAGGCATCTGACTTGTGAATTGTTGATGAAAACAATAAATTTAGGAACATACCTTGTGCTCCATTAGGATCTGTCGGTAAGATCCTCGAAAGCTGGATTAACCGTGCAAGCATGACACAAGGCAAAGTAGTTGCGCCAAGAAGAATGCCTGATGAAGCACCTGGCCTGGAGGGTATATGCATCAGACAACAAGCGCTAGGTGCAATTTTATTTTGTAGCTTGCCACAAAAGAGGCGATAAAATGAAATAGCCACATAACTCAAACACGATGTAGAGTGAAGGTGCACAATTGGGATTGCGCATCATAAGATCTAGACTAAATTTCAACAGACCCCTGAACTTTTACATTCTACTCAGGGATGGTCGCTAAGCCAAGGGCAAGCCGCATTTCTACTGCGTATGCTAAATCAATGACTCGAATCGACCGAGGATTAAGCTCCTATCTGCACCACCATCATCCCCAGCGCATCTGCCAATGCCCTAACCACACCACCGATTATTCCCCAATCGTGTTGGCAACCCATTGAAATGAGGCTCGTCTTGACCAATTCGCACTAGAGATTTTTTTTTATTTTTTTTTGCAGGAGAACCGCATGCGCCTGCCAGCAATTCGAGCTCATCTATACGCACACATTCTTCTGGCGGAGGAACCGAACGAGACGAAATTTACACTCTGGGAAATCCGCCTGGGTGGCCGAATCGCGATGATTTTGTTTAATCCCGTGGGATGGGATAGGAACGAGGCGAGGGAGAGCGGCCGCACCTTGTCCTGAACCGGCGGAGCGGGGAGGAAGGGGCCGCGGCGGAGCGGTCCACCGCGAGCTCGACGGCGAGGGCGGCCCCCGCGAGGAGCGCGAGCGGGGCCGCGAGGCGAGCCGGGGCAGCGAGCGCGACGCGCGCGGCGAAGAGGAAGACGACGAGGCGCTCCCCCGTGAGCAGCGCAGAGGAGGACGCCATGGGCGGTGCCGGCGAGCCCGATCCGGGCGGGGAGGGAAGTGGCGTCGGAGACACGGCCGATGATGGGCGGGCTGGCCAGCAGTTGGTTGCGCTCGCGCGCCGCGTGCGCATGGTTTCTGGGACGCTTGGTTTGGTTTGGCTGGGACGCTTGGTTTTGGGTGGTGCGGTGGGTCACGGTTCGGTCTCGGTCAGAATTGGCGGTCGGCGAGACCAGGTCACCACGGCCGCTCGCTCCTTCCCACCACAACAGCATGCCGCTCAAACACGACATATCGGCGTTTGCGTCGCTGAAGATCGTGAATTTGCTGGTGGTGGCACTGCATGGGCTACACACATATCCGGTGAAATTATCTAAAATGTACTCCCTCCGTCCCAAAATAAGTGATTGTACTAGTTGAGTCATTTATTTTGAAACAAAAGGAGTATCATAACTAAACTACTGCTTGAGAAATCGTTAGAAGAGTAATAAATACACACACGATGCATTTTGCTATGGTTCAAGCAAATTGAACATCAGTCCAAGAATACTCCGCCAGAAACATGGATTCAGCAGAGGTGTTTAACACAAAAGGTGATCAACAGTAAAACAGCGCAAGCTAGGCAAGCATTCCAGACATAATCATGCCACAGCACACATAGTACAGAGCTTGATGGTTTACAGCGTTACAAAACATCGCTAAAACAGAGTTTTGACAGCAGAGGCTGGCCATCATAACCAAATATACATGATAAATAAGATGATATTGGTGCTACTGTGATTTTATTGTCTTCGCTACTAACGACTTGATTTCACATATTATCAGCTGCGGCGAAATTAACATGCTGTTCTGCCCTTACGTCGCCTGGCCGCAGATCCAGATAAGAAGACTCTTCGGCGTAACACTTGGAAAGAAATACCCTGAAAACAAAACAGTTCTGCAACAGTTAGTCCATAGGACTCCAGCAGTAGGTTAAAGCAGTACAGTAAACCAGGACAAAAAAATGTATTTCTTAAAGATTGCACCCCCTTCAGGAAGCAACAAGCCTGCAAATACAAAAATGCAGCTTCATAAAAACAGACTTCGCAAGAACAAACAGCACCAGTTCAAATAAATGTGAGCACTAATTCAAATACCACCCCAGTTCAAGTTTCACATGCATCTGCATTGACGCATGTGGATGACGATACATGGACATGCACATCCTGCCTGTCAATGCGTTTGTATATCAGATTCTTGCTTTTGTATTATTTGTAATAGAGCAACAAAATACAACATACAGAAAATGCAAAAGGAAACACGACGACACAAATTAAACACCACTTCTGCTACTGCTCACATGCTAAAATGACATGTACAGCTGATTCTACTTAAACTGAGCAGCTATTTATTTAAACATACACTCAATGGGTCAGAGTGCTACTCCCTGTACAGCTGATTCTACTTTAACCGAGCAGCAATTTACTGCCTTGACAGAATTTATACATTTTAGCAGAAAACATGCATATGCCATACAAAAATACATGTCCATGATGAACTGCAAGCAGAATGTACAGCATCATATACAGATTCGTTACCTGGACATAAGATACTCCTCAAAATGTGAAGTCTTCACAAAGCAGGATATGTAAATCTACAGGACAACACAACAAAATGACACCAATCTTAGATATTTATTAAGAGTTCGGGACTAATGTAAAACTGAAAGTAATACAATAGAAGACTGTGTAATATTTTAAGAATCTACGCAAATAGATAAATGAGCATGAAACAAAGAATCTTGACACCAGTTGAATACAAAGGCAAGAAAGTAGATGTGAAAGAAGAGGAAAAGAAACAACTACCCACTAACAGAATTTGTTTTACTACCTGCATCCACCTTTTGTTAAACAGGACAACATACATGTTTGGAGTTTAAAGATTTTCATGCTCAAGTCTTGACAATGTAAAATTGATCTGAATGTGTTCCTGTTCTAGATTTTGCACTTCAAACTATAGTTGCAAATTCTGAGGGAGCTGAATGAAATTAAATAATAACTATTACCAGAGTTTCGATCCATTTCTGGCTGAGTTTTTTTTTCTCTTGAAATACTAGGGAGAGACCTAGTGAGCATAGTGCTCAATAACTGCAGGTTAAAAGTTGTTGTCCGTATTGGAGTAAACATTACTCCAAAAGCTTAAGAACAGCTAACTCCTACAAGTATAGTCTGGATCAAAAGGAATTGCTGAATTAAGCACCCAAAACTAGTAAACATAAAATGCATCAACCAATATTACAAACTTATTTCATATCTTGGCAGAACTTTTCAGTAGCTACTCAAACATTACAGATATTACAGTGAGAAATACAAAATAAGAAATAAGACTCACATTGATCACACAAACATGGCTAGCTCTGGACGGCTGAAGATATTGTCTCCATCATCGCCTAGTGCAGGATAAGAGGCAACAAGTGCATCTTGTGCACCAATATACAGCGAGTTATAGATCTTCCAATATACTTCACGTACTTTCCTTGCTGGATGGAAAAGGCCTTGGAGGCAATAATTCAGAACCACAGCTGCACCTAGAGCAACTCGCATCCCCTCAATAGCCTCCATGACGGCATTTATAACATGGGGAGATGTCTCGAATATGTTGGGCCAGATATAGTTAAGCAAATGGACAAGAGCATCCTCACAACCCAAGCCAGCAACTCCCAGAGCCATATGCTTAACAGCAGATGCAGCAGTCTGCCTGTGAACCAGATCCCTGTCCATTAGGGCATCTTCGAGCAAGGGAGTGACAGCATATATGTAATCTTTGCCCATCTCGCCAATATACTCAAAGAGGAAAGAGAGAGACTTCAATACACCATTCTGAACATTTAGCTCCGGAACTCGGTACTCATTCATGAGGGCGGGCAAAACTGTGAAAGGCGAGCAAGTTTCAGCAACAATAGCAATTGCTACAGTGGTGCAGACACGGTTCTGTCGCTCCTGCACCTTCAAGTTATTCAACAGAGTGGCCAACACATCCTGTGGCCCAATTGCCTTGGCAATATAACCAAATGTGTTCACAGTGGCTCTTCTGATACCCTTCTTGTGAGCCTTCAACATTTCTAGCAACTCAAAACAAATCCTCATCCACTCCCTAGCTGGAACAAATTCTGCTCCACGATCAGCAATCCTACCAACTAGATCAATGCAGTTCTCTTGGACCTTCTCATGCCTATTCTTCAAGATGGGAGTCAGACGAGGAAGGAGATCCTTGATCGGAGGCGTCATCTTAGTCATACCAATAACATTCACGATAGCCTTCAATGCTCCGAGAATTGAACCCAGCACCTCAGGATACTCCTCTCCCAGGTACTCATACAGCACAACACCCAGGTGACCCATAAGCTGCTCCTCCTGGCACTGCTTCATAACAATAGCTATCCTTGAGATCAGATCAGCAGCTTGCTGCCTAACTTTCGCACTCTTGTTGTTCAACCGCCACTTAATGGTACCACATATCTGAGGAAGGTAAGGCTTGACCCTCTGCCCGAGCGCATTCACAACAGCTCCAAAACCATTAAGCATGACATTTGCATCATCACTTGTCTGCTCTTGGAAAGCATACAGGATGCCATCAATAAGCAGCTCCTCCAGACGAGGATCAATATCCGAGGCACCCAAGTTGGCCACCACCTTCTCAATTGTTTCCATCACCATTCTCCTATAAGGCTCACTTTCATCTTTCAGATCCTCAACAATCTTCCCAACGATACCAGTAACTCCCACCTTGTTTGCCATCTCTACTGTTGTTTCCACAAGTTGCTTATAGTTCCTACGATCTAGGGCCATTCTCCTAACCCAGAAGTGTTTGAAGAAGTCTGGAAGGATGTCACTCCGGATATAATCAGCCTCCACACCCTCTGTACTGACACACTGCTTAACAACCTTCAGGACAATCTTCTTCATCTCTTCATCTGGTGACTGGAACTCTCTAATCAGGACTTGCATCACCTCCTTCGTGTAGTAACTGGCATACAGAGCATCCATAAGAGGGATGATGAAACCAATAGCCTTCAAGAAGGCAGCAAGGACCTTTCCACGGTGAGATCTGATACCCTTCCAGAGAGGTTTCAACACACTATCAAAACTTTCAATACCGTAGGGTGCGGCAGCTTCAGCAAGTGCAGCAAGAGATAGGGCAGTGATCGTCCGCACTTTCTGGTTCTCGTCGCTTAGACCATGCTCAATGATCTCAACTAGGTTCTTAAGGTGAGGCAGAACAGCGCAGCCCATGAGAATAGCAATCTGCTGAACAATCTTGATACCAGTGTGCCGAGCTTGCCAGGACTTCTTACTCTGACAAACAGCCTTCAAAAATGGGAGGAGGGCCGGGATACCCAAAGCAGAAGCCACCACACTGAATGCCCTAGCAGTCGTATTCCTCACATACTCGTCAATGTTATCAATATCCGGTCTCATGGCAGCAATCATAGTAGCAAGACCGGCAGCTTTGCTAAGATTTGAGATAATCTCCCTGCCCTCAACACGAGCATAGTAATCCTCATCAATCAAAAGTGGCTCGATAACAACAAGAATCTTGTGCACAAATGGACGGACCAGCTCATCCAGCTTATACAGCACCCTATCAATGACCTTCACCAGGAGATGCCGCTCCTGGTCCTCAAGTGTTGGCTGCATGAGCAATGGCAGGATTTTGTTGAACAATGGGCCAGCACCAAACTCGCGTGCTTTGTCCGTGAGCTGCCGGAGTGCTGTCTTCCGCTGTGGGGGTGTGCCGTTCTTTACCTTGAGCAGGAGCTTCATGATTTTTCTCTCCTTCTGCTCCTCTGGCGTTAGCTGCTCCTCCTCGTCCTCATTCAGCAACGTCCCAAAGTACTGGTAGTCCTCTGGCTTCATGAGGGGCAAACCAGGACCCAAGTCCTTGGGCACATCAAAATGCTGTCCACGGTTCTCCTCTGGAATAGCATACATTGGTGTGCCCAGAGGTGTTGGCGTAGCAAGCAGCTTCCTTGCTGGGGTACGTATGGGCTGGTATGAAGCTGGAGGCTCAAGAATCTTGTATCCCTCCTGCGGGAACATGGAGTCAAGCTCCTCATCAGTGAGAGGCCTGTTCCGCTCCTCAATGTCCCGCTCCCACCGCAAGAGCTGGTACTGCTCCGGAGTCATCGGGCCACGAGCAGCAAGGTGACCAGGTGTTGGCGTGGCAAGGTTCTCTGCTCCGAATGGTGTTTGCCCAGGAGTGTTGAACCCAGCAGGTGTCGCTGCTGTACCACCAGGTGTTGCACTCCCCATACTTGCTGGTGTCTCATCCCACCTAGATCTCTGCTTCTTGGGTGTTGGTGTGACAAGCCCACCAGGCAGCTTAGGAGTAGCATCCCATGCCCCAGAAGGGGTGGCTCCTGGAGTAATGCCACCGGCTGCAGGAGTTGCATCTGCGTCAGCCATCCTCCCTGGAGTTGGAGTCTCATCCCACCTATTCCTCCTCACAGAGGGCGTTGCATCTCCAACACGGCCAGGAGTGGCGTCCCAGCGCCCAATCCCAGGAGTTGCATCAGGGGCATCCCAGTCTGAGGTCTTGGACTTCTTGGCCCCAGCAGCAGCATCGCCGTCCTGCGACTGATCCCACCTATTGCGCCGTTTGGTCGCGGCTGGCTGCGGCTGAGGCGCAGCCTTCTTCTCCTTGGCCTTCTCCTCCTCCTCCTTCTTCTTCTTGGCGATTTCCCGCAGCACGTGCTCCTTCTCCTGCTGCACCTTGCTCTCGCGCATGGCATCGGCGTAGGTTCGGACGGAGGGGTCCGGGGTGGCCTCCCCGGACGCGAAGGCGTCGTGGCGCTCGGGCGAGATGATGCGGTCGAGGCGGCGGCGGCGGTAGTCGTCCTCGCGGTCGATGATGCGCTGGGACCTCTTGGCGGGCATCCCGTCGTCGTCCTCCGAGCGGGGGATGTCGGCGGCGGCGACGGCGTGGCCCGTGTAGGACGCGAGACGGCGCACCGCGGGGTTGGCGGCGGAGGGCTCGGCGCTGTCGTCCTCGG